CCCTTTTCATCATTCTCCCCTATTCCTCCAAACCCAAACCCTCGCCTCCCTCTTGCTTTTTTTTGTTAATAGTGGGGCTTGAACTCTGGACCTGGGTGCTGTCCTTGAGCTCTTCAACTCAAGGCCAGTGCTCTACCACTTGAGACACAGCACCACTTCTGGTTTTCTGATGATTAATTGTAGTTAAGAGTCTCATGGACTTTGCTGCCCAGGATGGCTTTGCGCTGCAATCCTCAGATCTTAGTCTCCTGAGTAGCTAGTATTACAAGCGTGAGCCACCAGCGCCTGGCTCCACCCTGCCTCTTAAAAAAAAAAAGAAAACCCACCTTTTTATTATGTTCTAGAGTAATAAAAATAAGCATCTTTTTTTGCCAGTTCTAGGGCTTGAACTCAGGGCCTGGACACTGTCCGAGCTGTTTTTGCTCAAGGCTAGTACTTTACCACTTGAGCCACAGCGCCACTTCCAGCTTTTCTATTTATGTGGTGCTAAGGACTTGAACCCAGGGCCTCATGTATGCAAGGCAAGCACTCTACACTGAGCCACCTTCCCAGCCCAAACATAAGCATTTTTAAAGAAAAATAGCTAATACTACTATATTAATAATAACTACCTGAGAAATATTTTACATATAATGCATGTTCACTATTAATAACCCCTTTTACAGCTGAGAATGCCAAGCACAGAGAGGCTGAATAACTTGCTAAAGGTCGCACAGTTGTAAGTGGCAGAACTGGAATTCAAATCCAAATAAGGAGGCCCGATCCCAGCCACGTTTACCCAGGATGGCACAACAGCAGAATACCAGTATCTCAGAAGCCTACTCCAGGGAAACTTGCTTGTTTAAATATTACTCCAAATTTAATGTTAGGCTCATGATCTAGCCTAGTGGTAGAGCATGTACTTAACATGTACTTATCATGTACTTAACATAACTGGGTTCACTCACCAGCACTAATTTTTTTTTTGGGGGGGGGGTCGGTCATGGGGCTTGAACTCTGGGCCTGGGCACTGTACCTCAGCAATTCAACTCAAAGCTAGAGCTCTACCGCTCTACCACTTAAGCCACAGCGGCACTTTCAGTTTTCTGGTGATTCACTGGCGATAAGAGTCTCACAGACTTTCCTGCCCATGCTGGCTTTGAACCTCGATCCTCAGACTTCAGCCTCCTGAGTACCTAGGATAATAGGCCTGAGCCACGGGCACCTGGCACCAGCACTAAAATTTTAAACTTTTAAAAATCTAATATAGGTAGAGTACTTGGCTTAGTGGTTGAGTGCTTGCCTAGCATGCAGGAAGCTCTGAGTTCAATTCTTCAGTACCACATAAATAGAATAAGCCAGAAGTGGTGCTATGGCTCAAGTGGTAGTGTGCTAGCCTTGAGCAAAAGAAGCTCAAGGACAGTGCCCAGACCCTGAGTTCAAGGCCCAGGACTGGCAAAAAATAAAATCTAATATAAGCCAGGTGCTTATGATGATTGCCTCTAATCCTAATTACTCAGGAGGCTGAGATCCAAGGATTGCAGTTCAAAGCCAGCAAGAAAGTCCGTACAACTCTTTTCTCCAATTAACCACCAAAAGGCCAGAAGGGGTGCTGTGGCACAAAGGGTAGGACACTAGCCTTGAGCACACAAGGTCAGGGACAGGGCCCAGGCCCTGAGTTCAAGCCCTAGTACCAGCATACTTCTCACAAAAAATTTAATATAGGGCTGGGAAGATGGCTCAGTGGTAGAGCGCTTGCCTTGCATGCATGAGGCCCTGAGTTCGATACCACATAAGCAAAAAGAAAAAAGCCGGAAGTGGTGCTGTGGCTCAAGTGGTAGAGCGCTGGCCTTGAGCTGAAGAGCTGAGGGACAGCACCCAGACCCAGAGTTCAGGCCCCATGACCGGACTACCCCCCAAAAAAAAATTAATATAAACTGGGTACTAGTGGCTCAAACCTGTAATCCTAGCTACTCAGGAAGCTGAGATATGAGGATCATGGTTGGAAGCCAGCCCAGGCAAAAAAAGGAATCTAATATAATAATTACATCATAAATGCAGTGAAAATCAATTTTATCCAGCACTTTTTAGGGTCCTATGTCTGTTCAATGTACTTGAAGCACATCAGCTTAATCTTTATGCCAACCCTATTTTACAGTCACAAATGAACACATTTATGAACTTGTTTCACACGAGGTTGGTAGTTTAGGGGGCCTGTGACTGGTGTTTTACATCCTTCTTACTCAAATGGCAGTTCTAAACAGTAGCCACAGAAGTAGTCACAATACCTAGAACTTGTTAGAAAGGCACACAAACCAGAGCTGGGTAAAGGGGCTCATACCTGTAATTCTAGCTATTCAGGAAGTTGAGATCTGAGGATGGATCCCAGTTTAAGCAAGCACAGCCAGGCAAATCTAAGAGGCTCTTATTTCCAATTAACCAGCAAAAAGCCAGAAGGGGAGGTGTGGCTCAAGTGGTACAGTGTCATCCTTGAGAGTAAAAAGCTATGTTATAGTACCTGAGTTCAAGACCAGTACAATAACACAGATACACACACTCACACACAAAAGCAAAGCAAAAAAAGAAAAAGGCGCCCCAACCCAAACCTACTGAATTGTAAGACTCCCAGGTGTTTTGTTTGCACATTAAAGTCTGCAAAGCACAAAGGGAGACTTGAATCCCAGGGGAACCAGGCTTCTGTCCACCTGTGTAACTGACCCTCTGAGGCTCTTGGCTTGGTTGTTAGGGGCAGCTGTGAGTTGGTTGATGATGTAAGGAGAACTTGGATATTAAATTGCAACCAAGGCCTCAGAGATTATTGCAACAAAGGAAACCTTGGTTGTATTACTGCAACAGGCATCTGAATGGTTGGCTGAATGAGAGGCCCAAGAGATTTGCTTTAACAAGAATTTATGTTTTAACTATTATTATTATTGTGTGGTGCTGAGGACCAAATCAAGGGCCTCTTGTGGTAGGCAAATGCTCTCTACTAATGGGCTACAATCCTCAGCCTTGTAATAAACAAAGCGAAGAAATAGGTAGAGCTCCTAAGATTTAACTAAATAAGGTGTGCTCTATTGGAAAAGTGTAAAAATACAGGGGAATGTTCATATTTACAATACTGACCTGGACCCTAAAAGGAAGTCTGTTGTGACACTTGACTTGCTCTTGAAACTTCTTTAAGGACTTGTGACAAGGTTCTCTCCTAACAATAACACAGAACAGCATTAGTCTGACAATGCATGCAATTACTGCAACTGCACTTCGTACTGAATGCACTGTAAACACCAACCACAATCTAATTTTGTTGCAAGAGTCTGATTTTGCTATAAATTGGCAAGTCTATGGCTGAGGGCCTACATGGCTCCTTTATTGCAACAGGACCTTGCAGAATATCCCAGTATGTCAATGGCCTGGTATTCTGTGGCCAGGGCTAGAGGAATTCCTATAGTGGAGAACTATGCTGAGACCCCAGTTTATGGGCAAGGCTTTAGAAATGCACTGCCATGGGCATAAGGACGGCTGTTAGGCAGAACTCAGCCACTGGGTGCCCCAGGTATTGAGAGGAAACCAAGGCTCAGAGAAGCTCAGGGAGCTGCACAAGTTCTCATTTGTGAACAACGGGTAGAATGTGGACACGCACCTTTTGGATAGAAGACACATTTCCCTCCACAGAGATTTGCATATGTTTGAAACAGGATTGGCCAAATTTGCAGTCTAGGAAAATGCATACCTTCACCTAGTTAAAGTTAGCTTAATTGCAAAATTTTAAGGACTTGATATTCTAAGATCCAAATGTCTGGTTTCTAAAAGGCTATACAGGTATCTAGAATTTGGATACACTGACAGCAAATAAAAGATGGAATTACAATAAAGTTTTGGCTCTATTGTGATCTAGGCCGAAATGTAGTAACCCTGAATCCTTGCAACATCCTACTCATTCTTTAGACCCTAGATCAAGGTCTTGACCTTTGTGAAGCCCTCCCTGACTCTCCCCAGCTCCAAACCCCCCAAGAGGTAACGCCAGAGTCCTCCATCTAAAGGCCTTCGGGTCTTTTCCCACTAGAACCGAGTTCAACCTTAGGAGGTTTACTAGGGGAAGCCTGTTTTTCTAGGCAGCAGCACACACGCACACGCGCGCGCACACACACAAAAAGACCAAACAAACAAAAAAACCCCGAGATCTAAAAGCACCCCACTTTAAAATGTGGCCCCTTGGTGCGAAAGCCCCTCGGGCCCTTCCTATCAAATTCAAGCTTCTGCTTCACTTCCAAACGTGGGGTTCAGATCTCGGGCGTCTCCAGTCACACCACAGACTATAAGCACATTGAGGCCCAGAGAGGACCTGGGTTCGAGCGAGGGTGAAGCGTCCATGCGTTACGCTCATTTTCCCCCCCCCACACACTCCCCCTCCTGCCCCGCATCTTGTAAGCTTCCAGGATTCCCGGGTGCCCGGCGAGTATTTGTGGACTGGGATAAAGCACAGCATGGGGAGGCGCGGCACCGGGCCGCGAGGGTGGGCGCCCCGCGGAGCCGGCGGGGGAGGAGCTGGGGCCGCTCCGTCCAGCCCGGCGCCAACTCCTCCCGGGCGGGCAGGCACCCACCGACAGCGGGCACACAAAGCCCGCTCGGTGAGCTCGGCGATCGGCTCTTCGGGTCTGTGTCGCCGCGCGCCGCCAGGCGGCTCCAGGTTGGGCGCCCGGCCGTGGCAGGCTCTGGGCGTCCAACAGCTGCGCGCATCAAACCGCCGCGGGAGGGGGCGGAGGGGGGGAGGAGGGAGGAGGAGGAGGAGTAGGCTGGGAGGAGGGCGCAGGAGTGGGACCGGGCGGGGGGTGGAGGAAGAGGCCCCGCGCAGAAGAGGGAGCAATTGAATTTCAAACACAAACAACCTCACGAGCGCGCACCCACCGCGCCGCGCCGGAGCGTTGCCTCGATCCACGCCCGCCCCGTCTGTGCGGCGCGCGGGCGGAGACGCCGTGGCCGCGCCGGAGCCCGGGCCGGGGGCCGCCATCGAGGCGGGGGCTGCGCGAGGGCCGGAGCGGAGCGGCGCCACCACCGCCGCCGCCGCCGCACGCGCAAACTTGGGCTCGCGCTTCCTGGCCCGGCGCGGAGCCCGGGGCGCCCGGAGCCCCGCCATGTCGCGATCTAACCGGCAGAAGGAGTACAAATGCGGGGACCTGGTGTTCGCCAAGATGAAGGGCTATCCACACTGGCCGGCCCGGGTGAGCAGAGCGGCCCGCCGCCCCCCTGTCCCCCTGGGGTTGCATAACAGCGGGGAGGGCTTGAGCTCCCGGCGCGGGCGGGCGGAGGGGGAGGGCAGGGGTATCTGGGTCCCCCTCCCCAACTCTCCCTGTCGCCCTCAAGCCCACCCGGCGGTTATATAATGGAGGCGGGCGGGGGGGGGGGGCGGCGACACCTGGCGGGTACGGCGGCGTCGCGTCGAGGCGTGTGCGCCACGCGGGGATCTGAGGGCGCGGGTCACCTCTGGCCCTGCTCCGCGTGCTCCGTTCCGCCCCCAGCCCCCACCCTCGCCGAGGCTTCAGCAGCGCAGTCAGGGTTTTGGGGACCGATCGTGTGGCTCCTCCTACCGCCAGGCCCCTTTTGGGACCCCTTTGAGGTCCCCAGTTTCCCCGTTGACTGTCAGCCCCCCCCCCAAAAAAAAAAAAACAATCAGCTAAAACTTCCTGGGTCAATGGCTACGAATGGTCCTAGCCCCGAGAAAACTAGATTTTAGGAGGCGGAGTTCGCTTCTCGAAAACTTTGGTTTGGGACCTGTGAGAGGTCTGAAGTTGGGGGGAGGGTCGAGGAGTGGTTGGGAGTGGTCTAAGGATCTACCTGGCTTGAAAACTCACCACCACCCGTCAACACCTCAGCTCCACACACACAAAAATAATCTTCCATATGCCACCAGCTCAAATTAGGGCCGAAGGTGGCCGGCAGGGCCCCATGTGGGGTTGGGAAGTGGTCCAGACTGCCCTTTGGGTGAGAAGGGGGGGATGAGTTGCTCTCCCTCACCCCCACCCCCATTCCCGTGAGCATCTCCCGCCAGAAAAGCCCTAGTCCGCCATGTGGTTAACTCAGCCCGCCAACCAAAGGGCCTCCTCCCTTTAAGCACCTGGCCAGGTGGGAGGGTGGGGCCCCCAAGCCAGGCCTGGAGTGTTTATCACCTTTCCCCTAAAGGACTGAATGGTGAAGTAAGGGAGGTTGGGAGTTGGCGGTTGCTGGAGGAGAATGGACATGTGGGATGGGCAGCGCCTCTGGCATTTCAGAGTTGATGCAGAAGAGCCTTTGGTATTGGGTGAGGGCATGACTCAGCCCCCCAGAGTGTAGGACTTCTGTAGATTGAAATCCAAGGGTAGAAAGGTGGGGGGAAGGAGGAGGGAAGGTGGCAGGAACAGGAGGACTGCCTTGTAGTTTGGGGTGCTCTTCTCAGAAGCCAAGTTGGGGGGCAGGGAAGGTAGAGCGCTTGCCCCTGCATGCCTGAGGCCCTGGGTTCGATTCCTCAGCACCATATAAGCAAAAAGAAAAAATCCGGAAGTGGCGCTGTGGCTCAAGTGGTAGAGCACTAGCCTTGAGCTGAAGAGCTCAGGGACAGCGCCCAGGCCCCACGATTAGAACCCCCCCCCCAAAAAAAAAAAGCCAAGTTGGCTATTCATCTGATCTAATTGTTCTAGGTTTAGGAAATTGCCTCAGGCTTACCTGGGTCCTGGTTCAGGGTGTCAAGAAACTAAGAAAAATCCAAGAAACTCTTGTGCACCCTTGCCTGAGGAGCATGCCTTAGCAGCATTAGCTTTGAGCTCCTTGTTGTCTGAGCTTCAGGTATCAGTTAAAGTCTGGTCTCTGGCACGGGAGTCTGGCACAGGAGTCAGCAGAGAAGCAGGGCTCATTTTCAGGACCTCAGAAGAGGGCTGAGGTGGGACAGTGTGAGGAAGCAACCTTGTGTGCATGTGTGTGGCATGTAAACACTCATGTACTTTACACTGCACCCTTTGATCCCACTGGCTTCTTGGTCCAAATACCAAGGTCTGGTGGGCTGAGCAAGAATCAGGTCTCCCCTGATTCTCCCTCCTGGGGATGAGACAAAGTCCAGAGGCTAGCTAAGTCTGGGAGGAGGTGTTAGCTGAGATGTGGGTTTTAGGGAACCCCTTCTGTATCAGGTAAGAAACAGAACAAGTAGGGACACACTGGATCTATGGTGGCCCTCTGAGGAAGGCCCTCAGGTTTCTGGTGACCCTGGGACTGGAGAAGATGCCATTCATTTCCTTTTTACCCTTGGCCACCAGGCAGAAGGGTAAAACAGGAGGTAAAGTTTCTTCTACTGAGGCCTGGACTTTTCAGATAAAGTTGGGCTGGGATGTGGAGGTCAGACAATATCTTAAGGAGATAGGACACCACACTCTGCCTGGCTCTGGCTCTGGCTCTTGATTGTGACAGTTGGGAAGGAGGGGTACACCCTGTCTCCCAGATGCATCCCCCTTTGGGTCCCAAAAGAACAGACTTGGCTAAGTCTCCTCATTTACACCTTGGACTGTTTTAGTCCCTAGGGTGGCAGAGCCTGAGAGGCCCAGGCTCTCCTGAAATCTTGAAGTAGGAGGGAGTCACCCCAGGAGACTAGCAGACCCCTCAACCCCATGAAAACAACTGTGTCCTTGCTGCTGAACAGGATGGGAGAGTTCAGACATTGGGGCCACGTGGTAGCAGGGCCTGCCTGGAGGGATGGTGTGACTCCATCTTAACCTTCTCTTTTCTTTCTCCCTCCTCACTTCTAACTTGGTGGCAGATCTCTAGGCACTTAAATGGTTAATTTACAAAACTCAGGGATTTGCCCCCAGGTTCCTTCCTTTTCTCTCTACTTCAGTTTCACAATCTCAGAAAGATCCTAGACCTCCTTCTGCCCTTCCCCCACCTCTTTTTGCCCCTCGGGCTTGCCACACTTCCTACCCCTAACTGACTGAACTGCTTGCTACCCTGGACTTTCCGGTTCCTGGGTCAGGTCAGCCTGGCCCTGGGTGTGGTGGTCGAACCTTGGCCGGCCTCCAGCGAGTGCTTGTCCTTCCCTCCGCCCTCCTAAGTACTGGGGAGGTGACCCTGGGCCTATTTTGGGTCTAAAGCTCAGACAGCTATCACTCCCCACCCGAACAGTTCAGATTCCTCAGACCTGCCTGATGGAGTGGGAGTGAGGACTTTAGGCCCCAGCCTGGATCCCTGCAATAGTTAAGACCTTGCAGAACCCCCTTCTCTGCTGACTGGAGCAGAGGTGTGGTGGGGTGAGCAGCACATCTGGCCCCACCCTGATCCACTTAGCCTGGACATAAAGGCACCACCTGGAAGGCAGTATCTGTATTGGGGCACAGGGATCCCCTGAGACCTCAGTCTCCACATCTAGAAAGAAAAGCTCTTCTAAGTGCAAGGAAAACTCTTCCTTTGTAGCTTTTGGGCTGGAAGTGCTCTAAAGAGACTTCACCCCTCTTTTTTTTTTTCTTTCTTTTTAAATTTTTTCTTGTTATAAAGGTGATGTACAGAGGGATTACAGTTACATAAATTAGGTAAGGAGTACATTTCTTTTTGGGCTGTTGTCACCCCTTCCCTCACACTCTCCCAGTTTGTCCTCCCTTTTGGAGAGGCTGAGAATCCAATTAAGAGGAAAGAGTGCCTCTCCTGATTCTTCCCACAGGTACCTACAGTCAAGTTGAGGGGGTTGGGTGGCCCTTTTGGGGAAGATGCCTGTGTGCCTAGGCTCTGTCTTCCACCCTTGTCCCTCCACACCCATTCTTTTATGTAGCTGGAAGTATGTCTTGTTCTATTTTTAATTCTGTCCAGGCTTCTCTCCGCCCATGGGGCTGGGCAGCTGGTGGCCTCCTGGGTCTCTTGCCCCACCATTCAGGTTTAGAGATCTGCCAGAGATCTTGAGTTTGTTTCCTGTGGGAAGCTGGGGTGGCCATGTGTTCAGTCTGCTCCTGGAGAGCTCATGTCTCATTTCTAACTTTCTAACCCTTCACCAATTCTACACCTTCTTCCTAAGTTTCTCCTCTTTTATCGTAGGTTTACTAGGTTAATGTGGGCACTGAAAATGATGAGACCAAAACTTTGGGCTGTTCTAGTCTTAACAGCTTTCCAGCCCTCACCAGCCCCTTTCTGTAGATCCACCTAAGACAGAGGCCTGCCGAAGAGCCTTCCTGTTGTCCTGTGCCTGTCTCCTAGGATCTCTTAAGTCCTGGAGGCCTTTTTTGTTGTTTGCTTCCCCCTGTGAGAGGAAGGTGGGGAGATAGTTGGTAACCAGAGCCAGGTGTCTGGTCCAACCTCTACCCCTACCCCTACTCCCCTGGTCTGGCTTCCTGAGCACATTCTCTTACCCTCCTCCCCCACCCCAGCCTCTCCAGTCTCAGTGGTTTCTAGCATAGCCCAGAACCCAGGTGCCAGACTTCAGGCTTGGAGATGGGTGTTAGTGTCCCCTCCTCCTGAATCTGGATAGAGGGCTTGGGGGGAGGGGAAGTCACATTCCTGGTTGCTGAGTGGCCCTGGGGCGGGGTTGGGTTGTCATGGTGATGGGGATCCTGTTTGTGGGGGGAACTGCATGCCTTTCCACCCCCTGCTCCCACACCCCAGCTCTCCTGATGTAGGGAGGGCCCAATTTGTGTTGGGCATTTCTGGGGGGTGGGGGGAGGAGCTGGACCTCTGTCCCCAGAGGCCATGGGGCAAGGGGGAGGTGCCCAGAGCCTGAAGACTTCAGCTCTGGGGCAAGATGCCCCTCAGACTTAGGCCCAAGCCCCACCTCTGCTCTGGGTGTGTCTGGGTTCATTCCCATCCACCTAGCCTCCATGTCTCTGCAGGCTTCAATCACCTCCTGTTCCTAACACTGTGCAAATCACTGCCTTGACTTGACTGTCTCTCTCCTGCCTGTATCTGGGGCCCCAGTAAACATGGCCACCTGGCCTCTGCCCGGGCAGGAAGCTGGGCTGCTGGGGCTGTTGCAAGTGTTGTTGGGAATTGTAGTCCCTACCCCACAACCTTCATCTCTGCTTGGTCTGGGCTTCCCAGATCTGATCTGAGACTGGCTAGGCCTTTTAGCTCTATTTTTCTGACGTCAGACCTCTGCATGTCTCATCTTGGACACAGGGGCTTCTCTTGGGTCAGGACAAGTGGGTCAGGGGAATCAAGTCAGATAAAGTATGAGACCTTGCCCTCACCATCATTTGCCCTATTGCTTTATATTAATCATTTCTTTCTGGCTTAGTTTCCTCATCTGTAAAAATAAAAAGTTTGACATTCAAAGTGTTCTCAGAAGCCTTTTGGAACTGCTTCTGGAGCCAAGAATCAAATAGGGCAGTCCTTTGGCCTCTTCCTCCACTTCAGCCAGAGATTGTGTTTTTGTGTCTAGACTCATACAGCAAGTAATGTTGTGTGCCTACTGTGTGCTGGAGATAAAAGCACCAGAACCAGGTGTAATGGGACACTACTGTGATCTAAACACTTGAGATGCTGACATGGGAGGGTCTCAAATTCAAGATCTTATGAATTTGTTTTGTTTTGATTTTTTGGTTGTGGGACTTGAACTCAGGCCTGAGTGCTATCCTGAACCTCTTTGTGTTCAAAGCTAGCACTCTGCCTCTTGAGCACTACTTCTGGGTTTTGTTTTGTTTTGTTGGTCGGTTGTAGGGCTTGAACTCTGGGCTTAAACCGCCACTTCCGGTTTTCTAGTGGTTTATTGGAGATGAGTCACACGGACTTTCCTACCTGGGCTGGCTTTGAACCATGATCCTCAGATCTCAGCCTCCTGAGTAGCTAGGATTACAGGCGTGAGCCACGGGCGCCCGACTCCTTCTGGTTTTTTTTGGGGGGGGGGGGGTCCGGTCATGGGGCTTGAACTCTGGGCCTGGGCACTGTCCCTCAGCTCTTCAGCTCAAGGTTAGTGCTCTACCACTTGAGCCATAGCGCCACTTCCGGCTTTTTTCCTTTTGCTTATGTGGTGCTGAGGAATCGAACCCAGGGCCTCACGCATGCAAGGCAAGCGCTCTACCACTGAGCCACCTTCCCAGCCCCTACTTCTGGTTTTTTAAGTGGTTAATTGAAGATAAGAGTCTCACAGGAACTTTTCTGCCTGGCTGGCTTTGAACCGTGAGCCACCCAGCGCCTGGGCCGTATAAGTTTTTGACCAGTCTGGGGAAAAAAATAAAATCAGTACTCCGGTCTCTGAGTTTGGGGTGGGAATAGTCCACATAGGCATTAATCAAGTAGTAATATGAAACAGTATAAACTTGCAAGTGTGAAGGAGAGGCGCTAGGAGAGTTTTCCCCAGAGAGCCGATAGGGTCAGGAGATGGGGAAGCTTTTTGGAGGAAGTCATGAGGAGCTGAGGCTGGGAGGCTGGTCAGGAGTTAGTGAGTGTGAGAGATTGAAGAACAGTGTGGCCAGAACAGAAGGCCAGGATCCTGGGAGGGACCCATGATGACCAACATTTGTAGGACATACTACATGCCAAGTTCCAGTCATTTAGCTCTCAGTCATGTGACAAGTGCTGTGACTCTCCTTTTTACAGATGAGGAAACAGGCAAAGAGGTGTTCAGAAGGTTACCCAAGGTCAAGCACTATTGGTTTCAGAATTGAGATTCAGATCTTGCCATGAGAGAAGAAGGGTATAGTAGTAGAAGAGGATGAAATGCTCAGATCAACTTTTTGTTTTCCTTTTGTGACAGTACTGGGTTCCTTGAACTCAGGGCCTGGACCTAGGTGCTGTCCCTTGGGATTTGTTTTGTTTTGTTTTTTGGCTTAAGGCTGGCTGTCTACCAGTTAAGCACAGCTCGATTTCTGGCATTTTGCTGGTTAAATAGGTAAAGTCTCAGACTCCACTTCCCTGGCTGACTTTGAATTGAGATCCTCATATCTCAGCCTCTTGAGTAGCTAGGATTACAAGTATAAGCCACTGGCTCCTGGCTAAATTCAGGTCAACATTTAAAACTTGGACCTAAGCATGGTGCTGCACAACTAATTCCAGTATTCCAGAGGTTGAACTGGGAGGATTCCGAGTTGGAGGCCAGCCTGGGTTACACAGACCTTGTCTTAAAAACCAATACTAAGAAAGAGATAGCATTGGTTGGGCCAGGTGGTAGCAGAGAAGTGAAGTTTGACCAGGACTTGGAATGTTGGGGAAAGGGATGTGCTGTGGTTTGTGAAGGTGAGGGAGGGATTCCTGGATTCTTTGTCTTTCTGTTAGACTTTCATGTCTGACTTAATTTGAACCAAAGTCTTCTGCCAAAAATGGTTTTGCAAACATGGGGAATCTCTGGGGTCTGCTCGATTTGGCTTCACCTGAACTACCATGCGTGAGAGGGTGGTGCTCTGCTCCAGACTAAAGACCTCTGGACTCCAGCTCACACTCGCTTCCCCCATTTCACCCCAGATTGATGAGATGCCTGAGGCTGCGGTGAAATCAACAGCCAACAAATACCAAGTCTTTTTTTTTGGGACCCATGAGACGTGAGTGAAGGGCTGGAGGGGCACAGGGGGGCCTCACAAGAGGACTCTTCTGGGGCGAGGTGGTGGCGGTGCCTTTCGGGGTTGGGCTTGTAGCTCATGGGCAGTGAGGGGCTTGAGAGCACAGTCTCCCATCTCTCACCAGGGCATTCCTGGGCCCCAAAGACCTCTTCCCTTACGAGGAGTCCAAGGAGAAGTTTGGCAAGCCCAACAAGAGGAAAGGGTTCAGCGAGGGGCTGTGGGAGATCGAGAACAACCCTACTGTCAAGGCTTCAGGCTACCAGGTGAGCTGCCATCTACCTTAGACACACTCCTGGGAGGCAGGTGTGGCATGGGCTCTGGGGGAGGGCCCAGGCCCACAGGTGACACTTAGCCTTCAGGCACATCAGGACTTTAGAGGGGGGGGGGCTTTTTCAGAGGGGTGGGACTGTGGGAATGTCACAGTAGTTGAGGTCTGGGGCCAGTCAGACAGTGGCTTAGGGGGCAAGAACAGGATGGAGGCGGTAAGTGGAGACAGGCTATGTTGGACCTGTAGGCGTTTAGGACATGGCCTTATTCTTTTCAAGAAGGCTTCCAGGAGGAGGTGCTTGTGAGCCGGGCAGGACAAGGCGGGAGGGTGGGGGGCGGGGGTTGGCGGGGAAAGGGTCCCAGCTCCCTTTGGGAGAAGTTGACCCGAGGTTTTGCCTCCTGCTCCAGCCCTCCCCCCTCCTGCACAGAGCCCTGCCTGCCCGGCCAGTGGGTTTACCCCGGGGCTAATCCAACAGAGGTGGGTCTCAAATCACTTGTGAGACTGGGCACCTGGGTGGGGGGCGGGGGAGAGGTGGGGAAAGGAAGGAGCGAGTGGCTGAGGGGGTGGTCTGGGTGGGGTGCAGCATGACAGCCCCTCGTGCCACTCAGCCTCTTGCCATCTTCGCTGCAGTCCTCCCAGAAAAAGAGCCGTGTGGAAGAGCCTGATCCAGAGCCAGAGGCCACCGAGGGTGATGGTGATAAGAAGGGCAATGCTGAGGGTAGCAGTGATGAGGAAGGGAAGCTGGTCATTGATGAGCCAACTAAGGAGAAGAATGAGAAGGGAGCGCTGAAGAGGAGAGCCGGCGACCTGCTGGAGGTAAGTACCACCTGCCAGGGGGAGCGGGGAGTGGGCGGCTGGTCATCCTCAGCATTTTCACAGGGCAGTCCCACAGAAGCAGGGCAGAGAGATAAGCCTGAGAAAGAAATCCTGCTTATAGTTTTAGGAGTCCCCAGGTGAGAAGATGAGGTGTGGAAGAAGGCATTCTAGCTACTAGTTGGCTGGGGATGGCCTCTCTAGGTATCAACCCAGGAAAGAGCCCCTGAGGGATACAGGAGGGGATGTAAGTAGATGGCTGACTCTCTTCCTCTCTAGCTTCAGCCCACATTCTCTCTGCCAATCCTGCCTAGGACTCCCCTAAACGTCTCAAGGAGACAGAAGACCCTGAAGGTGAGGAGAAGGAAGCAGCCACCTTAGAGGGAGAGAGGCCCCTTCCAGTGGAGGTAGAGAAGAACAGCACCCCGTCTGAACCGAGCTCTGGCCGGGGACCTCCTCCAGGGGAAGAGGCAGAGGAGGAAGAGGCCACCAAGAAAGATGCTGAGGCCCAGGGCATCAGAGATCATGAGAGGTGAGTTAGTTGCTTTGTCCAGTGGGCTGAAGGGTCTAGCCACCTGCAGAGAGGAAGAGAAGGGTCAAAGTGGTCAGCCTCTTGGGAGGTGGGGTGGGAGCTCCCAGGAGACTGTCACTGGCTGGGGCGAGGCCCAGACCACACCATTAATCCTTCCTTCCAACCCTCCCCTGCAGCCTGTAGCCACCAATGTTTCAAGAGGAGCCCCTACCCCGTTCCTGCTGCTGTCTGGGTGCTACTGGGGAAACTGGCCATGGCCTGCAAACTAAGAACCCTTTTCCCATCCATCCCGCTCTCCTCCTCTGTTCACTCTCCCCACTTTGAAATCCAGCCCCCTGGAGATTGATCTGGGCCTCACTTCCAGGTCCCTACACCCTTGTGTGATATGAGTCAGGGCAAGTCTTCTGCTTTTGGGGATGAGATGAGGCCATTGTGTCCCTTCCTGCTTGAAGCTGTTTTCCAGAGCTTCTCTCTGACACTCCCCCTCCTCCACCAGTCATTCTGGACCCCTGGGTTGTGATTGGGTAGGAGTGGGAAGGATGGAGTGCAAACAGTAGAGTGGTTTTCTGGGTTTGAGAGGGGCAGTTCTCAAATTGTAGAAGGAGGACAGAAGGGTAGCATCTCTTGAGCACCTGTCTCTTACTTCCACATCTATTTCCCAGTTGACTAGATTCATGGAAAGTAGGACAGTTTGTGGAGGAGGGGGCTCCCTTCCATATATACTTGGTGATTGGTAACACCCATTCTTTTCCTTACCTTGGGAAATGCTGTTTATCATCAAAAGACTTCGGGGCTTTCAAGTTGTTCGGGCCAAGGACCTGAGATCTGAGAGTTGACATCACCCATCTGGGTGAGAGTGTTAAGCCTCTGTCTCTGAGGCCAAAGATGGCATCACCTAGGGAGACCTGACCTCTAGCTGCCCTAGTCCTTCTTCCCACAGTGTTCAAGGCCAGCCTAAAAGTCATATATACATATATATATATACACACACATATATACATATATATATATATATATATATATATATATATATATGTATGTATCACCCAGACGGAAAGAAAAAGACAAATTTTTTAGGAAATGTTTTTAATAAAAGAAAATTACAAAAAAAAAAAATTAACTTTCCCCAAACCCTTTGTGTGCTCCCATTCAGCTCATTTCTTCCCATAGTTGCCCCCATTTCTGAGGTGCACTGGGAGGCTTCCCTTCTGTTTGGGGCTTGATGACTTCCTTTTTGTTGCTCAGGCTTTGGTGTTCTTTCCAGTGTCATTTCCCATCCACATAGCCCGACTTGGTTCCCTCGGTCTTGTCACCAGATCTCATTTGTAACCTACTGAGAGGACAGGGAAGTGCCCTTTCCCAGTCTCTTAGTGGTTTTTCTATGCCTCTTCCGTCTCTCGTCTCTCACCCCTGCCTCTCTCTTGGGCTCTGATGAAAAATTGCTGACTGTAGCTTTGGAAGTTTAGCTCTGAAAACCAGTAGATGATTTCAGTTCTAGGAAAATAAAACCTGTTGATTACTATTATTGGATTCTGACTGATTATTTGGGAGAGGGGTATTGGTTAACTGAAGAAGGGGCAAAGGGATTACAAATATTATTTCCAAATCACCTTCAGAGATTGAGGTAGGAGTGTCAGCCCCCTCCAGTCTCAGGCTGTTAGAAATCCAGGATTCAACACAATTTTAAAATCCAGATTCTGAATGAGGGCAATCCTATAATAAATCAACATCCATGCTACCTTTCTGCCCAACCAGTGTTTTAACACAGTTTCCCCTTGTGAGCATTTGGGCAAGGGTAGAGGAGGGGTTAAAAAAAAGTATATGCCACAGCCCAGATGACTGTGCAAATAAGTGATTCTGTGGGGGTTTTTTTTTCTGCTCACAGCTAATGTTCTACTACTTGAGCCATTTATCTATCCAGCATTTTGCTGGTTAATGGGAGCAAGAATCTGGGACTTCCATGCCCAGGCTGGCCTTGAACTGAGATCTGAGGATCTCAGCCTCCTGAGTAGCTAGGATTACAGGAGTGAGCCACCAATGCCCAGCTCCACTTCCATTTTTTTTTTTTTTTTTTTTTTTGTAGTGGAGAAGAATTTCACAGCTGGGTGTCCATGAAACTCATCTCCACTTAGCCACTAGAAAACAGGAAGTGGTGCTGTGCTCAAAGTGATAGTGCAACCCTTGAGTGAAAAAGCTCAGGGACAGCTTCCTGGACCTGAGTTCAAGCCCCACAGCCGACAAGAAAGTTTCACAGGCTTTCCTGCCCAGGACTGGCTTTGAACCACAATCCTCAGAGTAGCTAGGATTACAGGTATGAGCCTGGGAGAAAGGTCAGAAGTGAGTCTGTTCTGGATTTAGATACAACTTTGAGCCCCAAGGGGAGGCCAAAGGACAGCTAACCTTTTAGTGCTAGTTGGATGGGCTCCTTGCCACATGACAAGCCAATTAAGAGATAAATATTAAGAAAGACAACTAGTTAAAAAACCATGGAATCATAAGAAGATGGGAGATTTATCCAAAGTTTTTATCAGCGGGGAGCATGATTTAGGGGCAGTTTATATAGGAGATGAGTGATTAAATGCAAGTGGGTGTCTTTTCACAGGTGGATGTCTGTGGCTAAATAACACATCAGATCCAAATTGATTAGTCATGCGTGCCTTCCTAGGTCTGCACATTTGCAGATTTCCTTGGGCAATTCTTGTCACTGATTTAAGTTTGTTCACCTAAGTTACTGACATTACATGTTTAACAAACTACAAGTTCCTAGTTGCCTAGAGGCCTTGCTGATCATAGATCAGTGGTGAAAAAACATACTTGACCTGATTTTTATAAAAGAGAGGGTCAGATGAGAGCAAATCAGGAGTCAGGAGATCTGGTTCAATTTTGAGCTTCACTAGAAATGCCTGTCACCTTTAACTGGTGATGAGAGTTTGAGAAAGGCTGATAGAATGGAATCCTGCTTGTGCTCTTAGTACTGAATCTGATCATTTCAGATTCCTTCCGGATCTGACATTTTGTGACTAGATAATTTATTAGCATTAGAAGGGTCACTGTTTCATCCCTGCCTCTAGGAAACATGATCGTTTTTTAATCTGCCGTAGCCTTATAAGCAGAAAAGGACAAGTACAGTAATAGTTGTAGTCATGGAATGAGATCTTTGAACTGGAACCTACAGTCATCTAGAAAATGGAGCCATTTCTGGAAACTACAATTCCCACCGACCTCCACGCTACAGGACATGCGCAGCAAAGGTTCAGCGTCGTCAGCCTATCCTGTTTTGCCTTCAGTTCCCGACAGGCTTCTGACTTCCTATTTCCGGTCGAGCTTCTTGCTTCAGCCTTGCTTTGTAGAGGGACTGCAACTCCCAGCATGCTGAGGCAGGAATCCTTGAACTTCACTCTGTAATTAGACTACATTTCCCAGAAATCCGGTGAGCAGGGACAGGCAAGGTTGAGCAGCCCAGTGCCGAAGTAACGCACGGCCGCTCGGCCGCACGGAAACAGGGAGGTGAGGTTGGTCGGTGGGGAGGTAGACGCGGGAAGGGACTCGGTTGCCTCCCCTGAATTTCTTTACGCTGGGAAGTTGGAGCAGGTGTGTGCTGAAGATTGCTGGGGCCTAGGGACATGGTTAACATCTGGGTCTGCACCCCAAACGGGTTGGTAGAGAAATCCATGGCAGCTGTGACCCCAGCGGCAGATATTGGACCCCAGCGGCTTGCGCTTCCAAATGAAAGCCCACTGTGGAAGCAGCACGATGTGGAGAGAACCAAAGGAAGGTCTGAGGGGTGCACTCTGTGGCCGATTAGCTTTCCTAGAGTTCAGATCTAGAATGACGAACTTGGGGAGCCTCTACAGCACTCAGGCAGGTCAGGTGGCTTGGGTCTTAAGATTTGCCTAGTTCCAATCAAGCTGTTTGTCATTCCAGCTCTCAGGGGTACCTTAGATAACTTGCATCTTCCTGGGCAATGTAAAGACAAGATACCGGTAATAGTGAATTTCCCACCATTTGGTTTGTCACGGACGCATGTATCAGTTTGTAATTTGTTGAATCTGAGTAGGAATGCTTAAACCCTTACATTCAGCCAGTATTATTATTTTTGTCCGTATTAGAATGTATAAAGAAGAAAACTAGACTGCGGATGCGCTTGCCCAAGTGCAAAATCCTCATGGGGGCGGGGGTTATTAGCTCACTATTCAGATAAATCAGTTATTATTTTCCTTATAATGTGCTCACAAGGTTAAAAAGGGCAAGCCAGGTGCCTGAGGCTCAGACCTGGCTACTCAGGAGGCTGAGATCTGGAGGATCACAAGATGAAGCCAATCTGGTCAGAAAAGTTCCATAGACTTCATCTCTGAAATAACCAGTAAAAAAACCAAGATGATGGGGGGGAGATGGATGTGGCTCAAGTATTAAGAGTGTGAGCCTCACAAGCACAAAACCTTGAGTTCAAACCCCAGTACTGAGAAAAAAATGCAAACATTAGCTGGACATAGATGCACATCTATGTGAGAAAAGTGCCTTTTCTCTAGTTTGCTTCCTTTTTAGGGCTTGAACTCAGGGCCTGGGTGCTATCCCTGAGCCTCTTTGTGCTTAAGGCTAGCACTCTTATTTGTGCCACAGTGCCAATTCTAGATTTTTTCTGAGTGATTTATTGGTGATAAGAGTCTGATGGACTTTTCTGTCCAGGCTGGCTTTGAACCAGGATCTTCAGATCTCAGCCTCCTGAGTAGTAGCTAGGATTGCATGGATGAGCCACTGATGCCCTGCTGTTCTCCCCCCGCCCCCCTTCTCGTCGGTCATGAGGCTTGAACTCTGGGCTTGGGTGCTGTCCCTCAGCTCTTCAGCTCAAGGCTAGAGCTCCACCACTTGAACCACAGCGCCACTTCCGGTTTTCTAGTGGTTTATTGGAGATAAGAGTCTCACAGACTTTCCTGCCCAGGCTGGCTTTGAACGTGACCCTCAGATCTCAGCCTCCTGTGTAGCTAGGATTACAGGCGTGAGCCACCAGCACCCAGCTTGTGTTGTTTTAATGAAAAGGCCCTTCTTTGGTTAGGTAGCTTGGCCCTTGTTAATTATATTTTAGCTACATCTTTTTCGTGACCTGCTTTAAGACATCTTGTTCTTGAATTTTAGTTGCATCTTGTTAATTAAGCCACATCCTTTTGCAGACTGTGAACCTGAGTTCAGCCAATTTGAGCAGAGGGGCAGGGCCTGCTAGATTATGGATAAAAAGGCAGCAGTCTGCCTGCTGTGTGCTTGGTTTGCCAGATTGTGGCTGATGGTGCACCCTTTTGGAGAAGTAAACAGCCTTGCTGAGTTCCCTTCAAGTTGGTGTCCTTATTTCTATGTGATGCCCCAACATCCTAAGCTATTTCTAACATATAATCCTAGCAAAAGGGAGACTGGGGCAGTAAATTTGAGAACTGCCTGGGCTCCACAGGAAGACCCAGTCTCAAAAAAAAAAAAATAGCATGGCACCAACCTCCCTATAAAGTTTTATGTATAGTGAAACATGCCTAGAAGTTGTCTAATACTACACAGTCAATGTGACAGAACTGGGACTAAAACCCAGATGCACTAGGGAGTTACAATCAGGTGATTCTTACCCCCCAGTTTAGGGCTTGAACTCAGGGCCTGGGCTCTGTTCCAGAGCCTCTCTGTGCTCAAGGCTAGTACTCTACCACTTGAGCCACAGCACCACTTCCAGCTTTTTCTGTACTAAGGAATCAAATCCAGGGCTTCATGCATGGTAAGGAAGCACTCTACCATTAGGCCAGATTCCCAGCCCCAGTTTAGGGTTTTTTTTGTTGGTTTTTTTTTTTTTGTTGTTGTTTTTTGGGTCCGGTCGTGGGGCCTGAACTCTGGGCCTGGGTACTGTCCCTCAGCTCTTCAGCTCAAGGCTAGTGCTCTACCACTTGAGCCACAGCGCCACTTCCAGCTTTTTTCTGTTTTGCTTATGTGGTGCTGAGGAATTGAACCCAGGGTGTCATGCATGCAAGGCAAGTACTCTACCACTGAGCCACCTTCCAAGCCCAGTTTAGGGTTTTTTATGCCATTATTGCACACTTGTACTTTGAAAGTACATTTATGCTTATCTATAAATGAGACTATTGATTCTTCATCTGTCCTTAGCAAGCACCTAGCATGCTTAATAAACTGAAGCACTCACACACATCCTCTCACTTATCACCCAAGCTGGCTTTGAACTCAAGCTAAGATCCTTCTGCCACCCCACCCAGCCAGCACTTTATTTATGCCAATTCTTTTTTTTTTTTTTTTCTTTTTGCTTATGTGGTGCTGAGGAATCGAACCCAGGGCCTCACGCATGCAAGGCAAGCGTTCTACCACTGAGCCAACTTCCCAGCCCTGCCAATTCTTTTACTACCATAATTTGGTCCACCATCCAAAACTGAAAGGCTTACAACACTTAAGTTGGGAAATTTAAGTCCCAGCCACCTTAGAGTACATTAGAAAACAAACTATCTTAGGCACTAATGGGTTTGTTTTTTTTTTTGTCGGTCATGGGGCTTGAACTCTGGGCCTGGGCGCTGTCCCTCAGCTCTTCAGCTCAAGGCGAGTGCTCTACCACTTGAGCTACAGCGCCACTTCCGGTTTTCTGGTGGTTTATTGGAGATAGGAGTCTCACGATCTCTCCTGCCCGAGCTGGCTTTGAACCTTGATCCTCAGATCTCAGCCTCCTGAGTAGCTAGGATTACAGGCGTGAGCCACCAGCGCCCGGCTGGCACTAATGGTTTTTGTCTTGAGGACAGAAAATAGGATTAGGACATTTTAAGCTATTTTTGTCTGTTACCTTTTCATTTTTCCTTACAACTCCCTGTCTTTGTGTCTTATGTATGTTCCATTACTAGCTTATTTCCTATCCTATTACTTTGTCATTCATTCTTGAGTACCTGCTATATGCCAAGCTGTACTGAGAGTTTCTGCACTCAATAGTAAGCTATATACCATAGCCACTGCCCTCATGTTTGTTTTTTTTTTTTGAAGTCAGATACAGGTAGATTTGTCAGCTAACCCCACGTAGTAGCTTTATGACCACTGACCAGTTATTTAACTTTGTTCTCATCTACAAAGACACCGTGTTGTGACGATTCAATGAGAAAAGGTTCATTAGGCAACAAAGTCAAGTGCTTTAAAAATGTTCCCACCCAAAGGTGTAACTCATTTTTTTTTCTTGTTGGTCATGGGGCTTGAACTCGCCTGGTCACTCTCCTGAGCTCTTAAGCTCAAGGTGAGCACACTACCACTTAAGCCAAAGCGCTACTTCCTGTTTTCTGGTGGTTAATTGGAGATAAGAGTCTCACAGACTTTCCTGCCCGGGCTGGCTTTGAACCTTGATCCTCAAATCAGCCTCCTAAGTAAGAGTACAGGCATGAGCCACAGGTGCCCAGCCATAACTCATCAGGTAAAATACTATTTATTGGTCTGGGAATGTGGCTTAGTGGTAGAGTACTTCCTACCATGCATTAAGCCCTGGGTTTGATTTCCTAGTACCACATAAACAGAAAAAGCTGGAAGTGGTTCTGTGGCTCAAGTGGTAGCATGCTAGCCTAGAGCAAAAGAAGCTCAGGGACAGTGCCCAGGCCCTGAGTTCAAGCCCCAGGACTGGCAAAAGATTAAATGAATTTTTTTTTTTTTTTTTTTTTGCCAGTCATGGGGCCTGAACTCAGTCTGGGCGCTGTCCCTCAGCTCTTCAGCTCAAGGCTAGTGCTCTCCCACTGGAGCCACAGCGCCACTTCCAGCTTTTTCTGTTTATGTGGTGCCGAGGAATCGAACCCAGGGCCTCATACATGCAAAGCAAGCACTGTACCACTGAGCCACCTTCCCAGCCCCAGATTAAATGAATTTTTTAAAAAGTATTATTTATGGAAACAAATTCCAGGAAATGGAAAGATCATTTCTTTTCTCTCTCTCCTCCCCAGAGCTGACAAAGTTTGTTAAAATGTGTTTGTGACTTTAACTAAGGATCACTATTCATAATACTGTGAAATATGTGAAGTTTACATAATCACCTAATCTCAATTTAAAAAACAAAAGAGAAGGGATGGTTTAGGAGTGATGAGTGACAATGTTGTCAGACACCTTGTATTCATATACTGTTTTATAGAATGGGAATTTCTTTGTACAACTACTTAAAACTTTTAAAAATTATATATATATATGTATATATATATATACATATATATATATATATAAAACGTTCCTTTCCTTCTCTCTTCCCCAGAGCTGACAAAGAAAATTTGAGTCTTCCACTTGTTAGGTGACTTCTCACAGCCTCCAACCATGCGTCTCTCTGTTGTGCTGGCCCTGGCATCCAAGGTTACGCTACCCCCTCACTACCGATATGGGATGAACCGTCCAGGCTCCCTGGCAGACAAGAGGAAGAACCCTCCATGGAGGCGGCGGCGTCCAGTGCCTGTGGAACCCATTGCTGATGAGGACTGGCATCTGTTCTGTGGGGATACAGTGAGTGCTTCAGACAGCAGAGTGATTGGGAGGTTCCAGGGCAAGAATCCCTCCCTCATCATCCTATCTTCCCATAGGTGGAAGTCTTAAAAGGCAAAGATGCTGGGAAACAGGGCAGAGTGATTCAAGTAATCCGGCAGCGAAACTGGGTGGTTCTGGAGGGACTAAACACAGTAAGTGAAGCGCGGTGGGACGCTCAAGACATCTGCATCACCTCTTCCTCCCCTTCAAGTGCAGCACAGGGTCACTGAGGGGCTGGTTGTACAACAGAACCTTCTACTTTTCAGCTTGGGGAGAATGTGCTAAGCAGCAGCGGGGTAAGCCCCTTTTACACCTGTGCTTTCTGAAACCCTCCTTCTTTCCCTTGGATAGCATTACCGCTACATTGGCAAGACTCTGGATCATCCAGGAACCATGATCCCTAGTGAAGCACCATTGCTCCACAATGAGGTCAAGCTAGTAGATCCCGTGGACAGGCAAGTACATGAGACTCTGTCCAGAGGGCTTCCTACTCTCTGAGTCCATAGGTGTATTTGACCAGTGCCAGGGGTGGATAGTTCACTAATCCATTGGGATGGTGTGATGGATACTCTGTTGATTTCTACTCAGACTCAACAAATCTTAGGAGTCCATCCTTGACATGGTTCTCTGTAACACTGATGCAGAGGTAGAGAAGCAAGGTGGAAAAAGTCGTTTCAACCATTCATTGATGGTGCTTTTGGGTTTGGGGCATAGTACATGTACCTTGGCTTCTATGTCAGGCTGTCTTTTTCTATCTGCCAGGAAACCTACCGAGATCGAGTGGAGATTTACTGAGGCAGGAGAGAGAGTTCGAGTCTCTACAAGATCAGGAAGAATTATCCCCAAACCTGACTTTCCCAGATCTGATGGCATTGTCCCTGAAACCTGGATTGGTGAGGCTGGGGAAGGGAAGAAGCAAGATGGGGTGGGAGGGGTGAGAGGGAAGGATAATACCCATACAAGTTGGCAGCAGCTAGGTGTGGTGGTAGACACTATATCAGCACTGAGGAGGCCAAGGGTGGGAAGTTGACAAGCCCAGGCTACTATCAAGACCTTATTCTAAGAAATTAAGGGCAATGGATATAGCTCAATGGTATAGTACTCGTCTAACATGGAGGGCCCTGAGTTCTACCTCCCAACAAGGAAAAAAAGAAAAAGACAAGTTGGCAACTACCTTAACAACTATCTTCTTTCTCTGGCTTAACAGATGGCCCCAAGGACACATCGGTAGAAGACGCTCTAGAAAGAACTTACATTCCTCGTCTAAAGACACTAGAGGAGGAGGTGATGGAAGCAATGGGGATCCAGGAAACTCGAAGATATAAGAAAGTCTATTGGTATTGAGCCAAGAAGAGCAGCTTTCTTCTGCTATCTTTATTTTGAAGGCTAAGGCAACTCTTCCTCAGATACCAATAAAGAGACCTGAGCCCCATGTGCAGTCTGTGCTACGATGGTGCCCCAACCCCTCAAGTGACTCCCCACAGAGCCACTTCATAAACAGCTTTCCTCATAGGACTGACCTGGGAGGGACATTAGCCAGCCTGAAGGCAGCCCTCCTAATGGGCAGTTTGAATGTTTTGGGAAGGAAGCCAGAAGGAAAAGGAAGTCCCTCCAGTGGAGACCTCTAGGCAAAATGTGTCCATTTAGACCACTCTTATGGAGGATATGGGCAGTGGGCATGAGACTTCCTGCACCTTTGTAGGGAGAGTGCCACCACCTGCACTTTACTTACGGGAATGGAAGAGAAGTAAATGTCTTCCAAGTTTTCATGAATTAAAAATAAATCTTCACACAATCTTGCAGTAAACATGGACATTTAAAAAGGGTTGAAACTGAAGTTTTGCAGGGAGCCAGGATTCCAACCATAGTGCAGAATGCTGCTTCTCCGGGTGACAAGGTGCCATTGGCTATTCCCAGTGGAACAGGGTCTGAGATGAGCCCTTCTTCAGGCTGTCAGCTGTCTTCAGTTTCCAGAGCAGAGAAGGCCTGACCCAGGGGCATCTTGGTGGCCACTAGAACCATGTTTCTGGGAGAGAGTTCAGGGCTGAAGATGGGTAGGAGCTCAGCATGAAAACCTAGAAGAAAGGCAGAGTTGATCACCTTGCTCAGCCAATTCCTGCCTAATCTATGGGCATAGCCACTTCTCTCCAGGGGAAACTTTTAACTGGACTAAGCCATTTCTCCAGGAGCAAGGATACTGATGGACCTGGGGAGGTGCAGCTACAGACTGGCTTTTTTTTTAGATTTTTTTTTTTTTTGGTCTAGTCATGGGCCTGAACTCTAGGCCTGGGCGTTGTCCCTCAGCTCTTCAGCTCAAGGCTAGCGCTCTACCACTTGAGCCACAGAGCTACTTCTGGCTTTTTTCTTTTTGCCTATGTGGTGCTGAGGAATCGAACCCAGGGCCTCATGCATGCAAGGCAAGCTCTCTACCACTGAGCCACCTTCCCAGCCCCTACAGGCTGTTTTAATATGAGTCTTCTTTAGCTAATCATTTATCCCTCCAAGTGATGAACCAGACCCAGCAGGTTAGGGGACTGAAACTTGAGTAAGTCCCAGAACTTGGCCTCTTACCCTGCTCTTGAAGATAGAGCAGTCGGTCCAGCAGAATCAGTGTCTCCACTAGTGGGGCCATGAGGAGGGCCAGGCTAAAAAAGGCCACCACACGATTCTCCTGGGCCTCGTGGGCCTGAAGAGCAGCCAGATTCAGTGGCAGCTGGGGATCTAGTCCCACTCGCTGTAAACCCCGCTGCACGTATCTGTGGGATGAGCAGATTGCACTCAGTTCTGACTTAGGCACCTCCACCTCCCACTTAAAACTTTGCTAATCAGATGATTTAAATGGACTCCTGGTGTGAGCCCAATAAAGACTGTTTATGCCTCAAAAAAAAAAATTTAAGAGGCAGGATTTCATTATGTTGCTCTAGCTAGGCCAAATTTCTAGGCATAAATGACTCGTCTTAGCTAGTGCTTGGCTCAGTATGTAACATTTGTTTTTGAGATAGAGTCTCACTCTGTAGCTCATGGTGGCATCAAACTCACAACCGTTGTCTTAGCCTCCTGAGTGCTGGAGATACAGATATATATCACACTCAGCCAGCAAACTTTTTTGAGTAGGATGTGTGTGTGTGTGTGTGTGTTGGTCTTGGGGCTCGAACTCTGGGCCTGGGTGCTATCCCTGAGCTCTTCAGCTCAAGGCTAGTGCTCTACCATTTGAGCCAGAGTACCACTTCTGGTGGTTTATTGGAGATAAGAGTCTCACGGACTTGCCTGTCCAGGCTGGCTTTGAGCCACAATCCTCAGATTGAGTAACTAGGATTACAGGCATGAGCCACTGGTGCCAGGCTTGGTTAATTTGCTTTTAACTTGCCTAAGCCACAGGATGCAGCAAGGATGTTTTCTCTGGCTGTAAACTACCTGATTATTTTTGCCTAACTTTCCCCAAGTACTTACTCTTTAACTTAGGGCCTGGGCACCGTCCCCAAGATTTTATGCTCAAGGCTAGCGCTCTACTACTTGAACACAGCAAGGACTTGTACACAATTGGAGATAAGAGTCTCATGGACTTTCCTGCCTGAGCAGGCTTTGAATCATGATCCTCAGAGCATAGCCTCCCAAGTAGCTAGGATTACAGGTATGAGCTACCAGCTGTCAGCTCTTTCTCACTCCCCCCTACCCCACCCCAGTCCTGGGGCTTGAACTCAGAGCCTGGGCACTGTCCCTGAGCTTCTTTATGTTGTACTGAGGAATCAAACCCAGAGCTTCATGCATGGTAGGCATGGTAAGCAAGCACTCTACCACTAAGCCACATTCCCAGCTAGTTTTATTGTTTTTTGTGTGTGCCAGTACTGGGGCTTGAACTCAGGGTCTAGGTGCTCCCCCACAGCTCAGGGCTCGTGCTCAACCATTTGAACTATAGCTGCACTAACAGTTTTTTGGTGGTTAATTGGATGTCAGACTTAGGGATTTCCTTCCTGAGCTGATTTAAGACAAGATATCACAGTATAGCCCAGGATAGCTTTGAATTCAAGATTCTTTCTTGCCTTTGCCTCCCAAGTACTGGGATTACAGGCATGCTCTACCATACCCAGCAAGAACAACTTCTTTAGGAGAAATCTGGAGTTGTGCAAACAAGTGGAGGTAGGCAAGGAATTTTTTTTTTTTTGGGGGGGGGTGTCCGGTCATGGGATCTGAACTCTGGGCCTGGGCACTGTCCCTCAGCTCTTCAGCTCAAGGCTAGCACTCTACTTGAGCCACAGCACCACTTCTGGCTTTTTTTTTCTGCTTATGTGGTGCTGAGGAATCGAACCCAGGGCCTCAAGCATGCAAGGCAAGCGCTCTACCACTGAGCCACCTTTCGAGCCCAGGAATTTGGTTTCTAGTTGGATATGCCCACTCCCAAACCTCACTCTTCTATCTTGAGCTCATGGACCCTGGGGATCCCCTGCACGCCAGGCCGTTGGAGTTCAGGGCAGGCATGTCGGATCACTGTCTCCAATGCTGCTCGATAGCAGTGGGTTCTCAGGTCCGGGCGTGCTTTCTGCAGCCGCTCAGCATATTCTTCCAGGGCATGGCAGGCCCCTTCCCGGAGCCTGTAGGGCAGTTCATAGCCAGGCAGGCCAGCTACCCACTGACTCAATGGGTAGCCACCAGGGTCGCTGAGCTTCATGTAGCAGCAGCCCACTGAGGCCAGGGCCACCACCTCAGGGCAGCAGCAGAAGTGCCTCAGTAAGGCAACACTGAGATCGCCACAGGCATGGAGGCCTGTGAGCAGCAAGCGGGTACCACCGTGCTGAGTGCTCTCCAGGGGAAGCAGAAGCTCCTGACACAGGTCTATGGGGTCCACCCACTTTACAACATGCTGAGGCAAGCATCGGCCTCTTTGGACCACCTGTGGGGAGGGGAAAGGACAAAGACAAATGGAATGTGTTTTTGCTACCCCCAGGCTACCTCATGCCATAGGGAGGATCTATCCTCTGGGTTACTTCCCAAGAAGTATGAGGGAACAGGAGAGCTGGGATAAATTCTGGGTACATCCTTATTAAGCCTTTTGTCTTTCAGAACATTTTCCATTTTCTCCCCATTATTATTATTATGCTAGGGATCAAATCCAGGGCCCATGCTGGCTAGGCAAGCATTCTACCACTGAGCTACACAGCAACTCTTAGGTATTAAGACTATTATGAACAAGAAAACCAGGAGCATGGGGGTTGTAGCTCAGCATGAGGTCTTAAGATTCCATCCCCAGGCTGGGAAGGTGGCTCAGTGGTAGAGCACTTGCCTTGCATGCATGAAGACCTGGGTTCGATTCCTCAGCACCACATAAGCAAAAAGAAAAAAGCCGGAAGTGGCACTGTGGCTCAAGTGGTAGAGCGCTAGCCTTGAGCTGAAGAGCTGAGGGACAGCGCCCAGGCCCAGAGTTCAGGCCCCATGACCGGGACCACCCCCCCCCCCTCCAAAAAAAAAAAAGATTCCATCCCCACCACTGCAAAAAAAAAAAAAAAAATCCACTGGCCAAAAATCTCTTTAAAGTATGGAGAAGTTTTGAGGATAAGGAAAGGAACAAGGATATAAGAAATAAGGATGCCATCATCTCAAAATGAGAAACTTGAAAGTAGGAATTTAGTTTCAGTACCCAAGTCCTGCAAAGCAGATCTGCTTTTGGAAACATGGCTGCAAAAAAAGTGACCTACCCTTGGATTCCTCTTCTCCACTTTTGCCAGAGCCTGAAGGAGCTGCTGATCCAAGCGCTGGGCTCTCTCAACCAGTCTCTGGTCTCCTTCAATGCTCTTTACCATCAGCCCCAGCCCCAGAGACATGAAGCGGGAGAGATGGCCCTGAAAGGGAGAACAAAGACAGTCTGTTCAGTGTCCTATTCACTGTCACCCTCCCTATCAGTGGCCTAGATATCTGGGGCCCCACAGAAGGCTTAATTTCGGTCCTGCTGGTTTCAACACTTCCCAGCACCTGATTTCCTGGGCCTGAGGCCTGAGAACTTACCAGCCCTATCTTTCTGACTCCAAAGGACATTAGGGGGTCTGGCTCACCTGGCCTGAGCCCACATCCACAACCTGGGTGCAGCCAGTGAGGTCACTCAGTTTCTTCACCAACTGAAAGAGGAGGAAATAAAAATCTTCTAACTACTGGCTTTTTTTTTTCCCCTAAGACTAGGACTTGAACTTGGAATCAGATACTTTTGCTCATTGGCTGGTGCTCTACCACCTGAGCCCTGCCTCCAAACTCATGACTATTGGCTTTTGACTCCAGGAGCCAACAGCCATAATGAGGCTAGTAGAGCCAAAGATGGCAGAGGAAGATGGATGAAGGGTGCCATAGACACACAAGAAAAACCGGGTCTAGAGATGTAGCTCAGAGGTACAGCGCTAGCTTAGCATGCATGAGGCCCTGGGTCCTATCCCCATCACTTAAAAAAGCAATAAAGATATGGAAACCAGAGAGAAGGAAAAGGTGAGTACCCTGGCCAGGTTTAGACTACTCTGCTTGCCCCTAAGATTGGTGACTCAATCTCCTCCACTGAGGCCAAAAGCTGACTGTAGAGATGGAAGAAGAATAAGATAATGATCCAAGGGGATGACAGTGGCTCACCCCTATAATCCTAGCTATTTTAAAGGCTCAGATCACAAAAGACTCCTCTCCAATTAACTGCAAACTGCTAGTCTTGGAAGTGTGGTTTAATTGGTAGAGCACCAGCTATGAACAATAAGTGGAATGAGAGCGTAATACCCTGAGTTTAAGCCTCAGTATTGGCACAACAAAATAAATAAAAAGACAGTAGTCTTAGATGCAGGCACCAATCAATCAGGAAACAGACAGGAAAAGAAACACGCCGGCACTGAGATAGGATTATATAGTAAGTAAGTTCTACTAAGAAAGGGAACAAACACTGAAGGCCTCTAGTCGTGCATGTGGGACAAAAGACAAACTTTAACCCATAGGCTTTACAGGGTACTAGGGTTCCCAGACATGATCTACAATCCAGCCATCTTCTCACCTCTCCTAGCCTCCGGATCTCATGCTGCTTCTTAGGCTTGACATGTTTCCGGAAGGGAGCTGTCAGTCGAGAGCTCTGGCTAGGGTTCTCCAGGAACTCTGAGGGGGTCTGAAAGCCAGGTGTCCGGGTAAAGGCCAGGGCACAGGCTGTGGACTTCAGGGCCAGTAAGGTAAGTGGCCACACCGACCTGTACCTGAGATAGTCCAGCCCAAGCCACCAGTGAATAGTCCCATCACATCCTGAGAACACCAGTTTACATCCCAGGGGCGTAGGAAGACTTTGTGAGACTGAGTAACCATTTACTTCAAGGCTCAGTGCCTTGAGCTCCCCAGCACAGGGCCCCTCTAGCCCATACCTGACTACCTCCCCTTCCCCAGGCATTCCCAGCAGCAGTGTGGCCAGTTGTGGTGGGTCCAGTCCATCCAGTGCTTCCTGCCATGAGCAAGGGAGTGTGCCCCACAAGTTGTCTGTGAAAAATTCCTGCAGAGGGGAGAAACAGTCAGCAGGATACTATCTACTGCCATTCCCAATCTTCCCACCCCAATCTGAACTCTCCACCTCATCACCTACCTCTTTCCAGAAGGTGTCTGCTGTCTGACAAGACCACTAGCTGTCACCAACAACTACCTGCTCTTTATGAATGAGCTCTTCTTGCAACCCTGCTCCAGCTTCCCCCAGCTCCCAGGTGGCTGACCTCTGCTTCTCAGAGCCTAGACTATATTCTGGACACATGTGATTTCAGCAATGTCCTCACTTATTTCGTGCATATTTTCACCACTTAGCTAAACATAAAGGGTAGGAACAGTATCTTTTTCACACCTGTATCCCTAACACTACCATAAATTACCATTTAGCAATCTGCTATCACATGTGTCAGAAACTTTTATATTTTACTCATTCATTTCTTCATCAAAAATTCTGGGGCCTTAGGACATACACCAAGCTTTTTTCTAAGCTCAGGGAATGAGACAAAATTCTACCTCTTATACAGTTTACTTGAAAAAAATTTCAGGGCTGGGGATAAACTCTGTTGTAAGTGCTGTCTAGCATGTGTTTTAGGCCTTGGTTTTGATCTCCAGCACTGCAAAACAGTAACAATAATTCCAGCTAACATCAAATATCACAGACAAAACTCATGAAAGTTATGTAATGAGGAACTTAATGGAAGACTAATTTAGACAGGGCAATGAGAGAAAACTTATCTGTGCACACTGAGACAAAATAATAAATGAGTCACTCATGTAAAGAAAACGCAGTCCACTAGGTGCTGGTGGTTCAACACCTATAATCCTAGCAATCTAGGACTGGCAGAAAAGAGGGGGGAGTATAGTCCAATGGGCAATGGTGACTCACCTGTAATCGCAGTTACTCAGGAGGCTAAGAGATGAGGTTCAGGGTTCAAAGCCAACCCAGGCAGGAAAGTCCCATGAGACTCTTATCTCCAATAAACTACTCAAAAAAGCCAGAAGTAGTGCTGTGATTCAAGTGGTAGAATGCTCACCTTGAGCAAAAGAGGCCTAAGCTCAGAGTTCAAGCCCCAGGACTGGCAAAAAAAAAATGTAGCTCAATAGACACTGGTGATTCACCTATAATCCTAGCTACTCAGGAGGCTGAGATCTGAGGTTCAAAGCCAACCTGGGCAAAAAAAAAATCTGAGACTCTGCTCTCCAATTAACCAACAAAACGCCAGCTGTGGCTCAAATGATAGAGCACCAATTAGTAAAGGAGAGTACTCCCTCAGTTCAAGCCCCAGTTCCAGCATACACACACACACACACACACACACACACACACGCAGTCAATAGCCAGCATTCAGCTGATACTACTCACAAGCATTGTTGTAAATAAGAGTGTACTTTTAAAAAACAGCATCAAGGGGGCTGGTAAGGTGGCTCAGAGGTAGAGCGCTTGCCTTGCATGCATGAGGCCCTGGGTTCGATTCCTCAGCACCACATGAGCAAAAAGAAAAAAGCCGCAAGTGGCGTTGTGGCTCAAGTGGTAGAGCGCTATAGCCTTGAGCTGAAGAGATGAGGGACAAGGCCCAGGCCCAGAGTTCAGGCCCCACAACGGGACCGCCTCCCCCCCCCCAAAAAAAAAAAACCAGCATGAGTAAGTTGTATGGAGGGGGAGTGAATTATTTTTGGGTGCTGGGGACCAAACCCAGGGCCTGACTCATGCATTATAGGTATTAGAGGTATCACTATTTTTCAGAAGTAGGGTCAACATAGGTATTGCATAGTGAATATGGGAAGAGAATAAAATTTGGTGGGAATGAAGAAACTGCAGAGGTGAAATCATAATATTAAGGCATTAGTATTTCATCCAGTCACCTAGAAAAACAAGGGAATGCCATGGTAAGATTCATCTTGAAGTAGATTTAAAGAGAACAGGAAGTTGCTGAGGAAAGATATAATGTTAGCTTGGGGCAGGTTGGTGGCAATGAAGATGGAGACAAATGAATCAATTTGGGATCTATTCTGAAGGTAGAATAGAGCCAAGAAGACTGGCTGAAAAAAAAAAAAAAGAATTGTGATTCAACGAAGCAAGGAAATGAATTAAGAGTGGCTTCAGAATTTAGTGGATGATGGCGCCATGTATATATACATCAACTCGTTTTTCACAATGATCCTTCATTTTATTGTTGGAGAAATCCGGGATAGGAGTGAAAACAACTAAAGTCAACAGGTAAAACAAAAAGGCAAGATTGTAATCCTACACTGACTGTAAATCTGAACTGTCCACTGTATCATAAAATTTATCGAAAGTTGGGAGGAATGAACATTCATGCTCTTGGAGCACCTTGCATGTTCCTAGCAAAGTTCAACAGAATGTAACCGCAGCACAGCTCAATTTGTCCATGAATCCTGTCACCCTGCATTTGGGAAACGTCAGAAAGACAATCTAAGTATTAGAGAAGAAGGGAAGGAATCATTTCCGTTTTAAGCCTTTCTGTTCAGAGTGAATATAATAGAAGAAATCAAAGGCTAACTCCAGACACTCGTCTCGGCCACCTTAACCAAACAAACACCAAAAGCATTCCGCCCACATCCCTGCGGCCTTACGATGATGTAGGCATCCAGGATGGGACGGTAGAGCTCCAGGACACGGGTGAGGTTCACAGCTAGCTGTCTCCTCTCCCCGTAAGAGAGGCCACGGGCAGAGACGGCCGGCATCCTAGGGGGTACAGCCGGTGGCGCCTGGCGCGAGGACGAGGCGAGATGGGATCCAGGGTGAGCACCAGGCTGGCTCAAGATCCGGGTTGGGCTCGGCCTGGACCCCGATTCCCAACGCTGCCACAGCAAGCTTTAACACATGAGGTGCCCCCTCAGCCCGCACACCCCCGGACTTCACCAGTCGTGACTGCTCACGGCGCGAAGCTGCTGCGTCGGTGCGCGTGGGGGCAGTGAGACCGCCGTGACGTCACAGAGATGAGCCGCGGCGCAGAGCGGGTCAAGTCACAAGTCCCACTCTTCTCGCCCGCCCCCAACCCACCCCCTTCCCGGAAGTGGGGTCCCGGTTCCCGGCGCTGAGGTTCCGGTTTGTCGCGGCCCCTCCACACCTTCGAGTTGTACCTCCACGGGGCTAGAGGGGCCGGGGAGCGCATCCCTCCCCCGCCCCCACCCACGCCACCCCCCCCTCCTCCGCCTCTGCCGCTGCTCTCGCACTCGGAATCATTAGCGTCGCTACCGGAAGTGGGGGTGCACCGGACGCGCGGGCGCCGACCCCCGGCCCGTTTCAACCCACGCTCCTACCGCCCCGGGGCTCGTCGGCGCGCGCGGATTTCCGCATCCGGTTCCGGGCGCTTCCGTTCCTAGTAGGGTCGGTGTAAGAGGTAGGTTTGTGAGCATGCCGGGAAGTTATCCACTTAAAGCACCCCTGGGCTGCCTCGATCTCCGAATCCCCCCCGCCCGGTGCCTCTGGTATGTGACTCAAAGGCCCTTGTTTGGGAGGACTTGGGCGATGTGTATGTACATAGATGTTGTTCTCCCACGTGGAGCCGAGGAAGAAGGGTGCCTAGTACCTTCATTTGTGGAACCTGCATTGTACGCCTGGGTAATCAGAGGTCAGCTATGCCAGTCTTGCCCGTCACTGCTTTCTAACAGACAGAGATGTTCTCTTTCAAGGCCGATCCAGAACAGGCCTATCCTGTTCTGCTTTCCTAGACCTTGCAGAGTTGAAACTCATTGGCCTCTCCATCCCCAACATGCTAGCACACACTGTCTTCGACCTTCAGCCCCTTCGTTTGAGGAAGGAAACAGACATAAGGAAATGACCTTCCTCAGACTTACCTGATTAGTTCATTGTGGTGCTTCATAAGAAAATAGGCTTCCTGCATACAGTTCGCCTTTTATCATTTCAATGTTGTTCATTTACCCTTACCTGGAAGGTTGTTCTAATGTTTTTCCTCCCTTAAGTCCTACAGAGTCTTAATCTCATTTTTCCCCAGGCCTATGGATGCAGGTACCAGAATCACTTTGGACCCCACGGTTTTCTCCAGACCACATGTTGGACAATGGGATTCAACAAAGAATGAGTTCCTCATCTTTCTTCCATACTTAAGCCATTCTTCCCAACTGCTGTCCCACCATTCATTGTCTTCATGTCTACCATACTCCTAAATCTGGATTTTGGGGAGCCTCCCAAAAAGACATTAGAAGGGAATGCCAAGCACCAAAGATTTGTCAAGAGGAGACGACTGCTGGAACAGAGAGGCTTTCTGAATAAAAAGAATCAGCACCCTACCAAGGTAACTAAAGTGAACCCAGACCCTCCAAAGAAAGGAGGAGCTCAAAACATGGATGGCACCCGGAAGGCCCCTTCCTTTCCAAAAAAGAAAACAACTGCCTCCAGCAGCGGATCAGAGCAGTCCCAGGATAAGAAAGCAGCTGTATCTTGGTTGACCCCTGCACCTTCAAAGACTAATTCTGTTGTGGCGAAGATAGATTTGCTGGGAGAGTTTGAGAGTGCCCTTCCAAAGATTAAGAGCCACCCAAAGCCCTCCCAGAAGAAGAGCATCCAGCAGAATGACTCCCAGAAGAATAGCATCCAGAAGAAGGACCCTCAGAAGAATGGCATCCAGAAGAAGGACTCCCAGAAGAATGGTATCCAGAAGAAACCCTCTCAGAAGAATGCCACCCAAACTCATTTAGAGAATAAGTGCTCTGGAGCATCCCAAAACTTGCCAACCAAGATGGTGGCAGTTGACTGTGAGATGGTAGGCACAGGACCCAAGGGACATGTTAGTTCCTTGGCACGATGTAGCATTGTCAACTACAATGGAGACGTGCTTTATGATGAGTACATCCGTCCCCCTTGCCACATTGTTGACTACCGAACCAGGTGGAGTGGTATCTGCAAACAACACATGGTGAATGCCACACCCTTCAAGACTGCACGGAGCCAGGTGAGAAGCATGGGGCATCAGGGTGGGGGAAAAAAAATCAGGCCTTTTTTTCCAAAAGGTATATCACTGGGAATATCACCCCACAGAGAACTATGGAGGGAGGGAAAATATCAGATGATTAAGAAAGCCATTCCCGATGCTGGGGCTCATGCCTGTAATCCTACCTACTCAGGAAGCTGAGATATGAAGATTGCAGCTCAAAGCCAGCCTGGGCAGAAAAGTTCATGAGACTCTTATCTCCAATAAACTACTCAGAAAATGCCAGAAGCTGTGCTGTGGCTTAAGTGGTAGAGCTCTAGTCTGAGCAAAAGAAGCTCAGAGACAACACCCAGATCTTGAGTTCAAACCCCAGGACTGGGTGGGGTGCGGTGGGGGACCTAAATCCAGTGCTGATGGCTCATGCTTGATTTCTCCTTAAGAGGTTGAAATTTGAGGATTGAGGTTCGAAGCCAACCTAGGCAGGAAAGTTAGTGAGACTCTTGCCTCCGATAAGTTACCAAAAAAGAAGATGGAACCTGGAGCTGAGCGCCACAGGACCAACACGCACCCCCCCCCCCCAAAAAAAAAAGGGGGTCCTTGGGTTCTGCCAGTAGTGGGGAAGGTACAATTAGGTGGTAAAACAACTTTCACTAGTCAAGATCTATTTTACTGGTGGCTCATACCTGTAATTCTGTTCAGAAGACTGAGATATGAGTATCACAATTTGAAGTCAGTCTGGGCAGTAAAGAGACTCCAATGTCCAATTAACCAGTAAAAAGATAGGAGTAGAAAGTGTGGCTTAGTGGTAGAGTGCCAGCCTTGAGGGAAAAAAGCCAGGCAAGAGCACAAGGCCCTGAGTTCAGGCACCAATACCAGCATACACAAAAAGGAAAGAAAGAGAGACATAGACCTATTTTGGGGTTTTGAGTGTTATTGATCTGGGGACTGGGAATTTGCATCAAGAAATAACAGCTAATGCCCGGCGCCGGTGGCTCACACCTATAATTCTAGCTACTTAGGAGGCTGAGATCTGAGGATCGAGGTTCAAAGCCAGCCTGGGCAAGAAAGTCCATGAAACTCTTTATCTCCAATAAACCACCAGAAAACCGGAAGTGGCGCTGTGGCTCAAGTGGTAGAGCACTAGCCTTGAACTGAAGAGCTAAGGGACAGCGCTCAGACCCAGAGTTCAAGCCCCACGACCGACAAAAAAAAAAAAAAATAACAGCTAATGATGGAACCTGACAGAGCAGTGGTTGTGAAGTCCTGGACATGCTTAGGAAATGGCATAATGTTGATACAAGGACTGGGCATAGTTGTATTGTCAGATGCCTGTTATAAAGGGCATGAAAGACATCAGGCTGGTTATGGGGTTCTAGTCTCACTGATCAAATGCTAGCCTTGTGCTGGATTTGAGAGAACAAATAAGGAGGAAAGGGTAGGCTAGAAGAGAGTTGAAGAGGGAAGAGAGGAACGAGCTGCTCTAGGTAGTCCACCAGAGGGCACCCTTGCTCCATTTTTTGTACTTTCAGGTCCTGGCCCTTTGCTTTCTGGGGACCCAAATAATTCCAATAATTCCTTATATGCCAAAACAGTCTGTTGGAAAAGGTTTGAAAAGTCTTGACAGGAGGCATCCAAGGGCCCACACAAGTAAGGGACAGAAGATGGGGTGGGTCTCTGACAGCGGATTGTTGTATACAAGGTAAAGGGAATAATGGGTAGATCATAAACTAAAGTTAAAGTCAGGAGCAACTAACCACTGGAATACTGATGAAAACCACAGGCTCTCCTCCCAAAGTAGCCATACATTTAATTGGGGCTTCTATTGCCTCCCTGGAGTTCATCTTTGATATATTATGGGCTCCAGTCATGTGTGTAAAGCCAGCATAGTGAGTCACATGTTCAGTGCAAGTTCCATTTACTAGTAAAAGGCAGATTAATCCATCAAGGGGTGGGAATTAGTAAGAAGGTAAATAGCCTCAGGTGATATAGATCCAAACAAGGTTACACACACTGCTTTTATCCTGGAAAACAGAAGGTGGATTTCAGAAGACAGAAGACTTGTAGGAGAGGACTCTCCAAGGATGGAATACATATGTGGGCAATTGAAACTAACTGGGTCTGGCTTCAGTGGCTCACACCTGTAATCCTACCTATTGAGGAGGCTAAGAGGATTGTGTTTTGAAGCCAACTCAAGCAGAAAAGTTTGTGAAATTCTTATCTCCAATTAATCAGCAAAAAGACAAGTAGAACTGTGGCTCAAATGGTAGAGAGCCGTCCTTGAGTAAAAAAGAGATAGTTCCCAGGCCTTGAGTTTAAGCCCACTACTGGCATTCATGCACGCATGTGCACGTACATGTACACACACACACACACACACACACAACAGAGATACTGATGGCCATATTGGGCTTTTAGGACACAAGAGTTCTCTCACTTTGAATCTCTCTTCTCTTTCTCTTCCATGCCCTTTTTTAGATCTTGAAGATACTCTCAGGGAAGATAGTGGTGGGGCATGCCATCCACAATGACTACAAAGCCCTGCAGTACTTCCACCCGAAGTCCCTCACCCGCGACACCTCCCAAATACCCCTCCTCAACCGGAAGGCCAACCAACCAGAGAATGTCACCCTGTCTCTAAAGAATCTCACCAAGAAGCTGCTGGACCGAGATATACAGGTATCCTTTCTCAGGTGTTTCACACCCCACAAATCCCACCTCTTGGGCAAAAGTAGAGGCTTTTATTGCTACCTTTTTCTTTTTTATTGGTCATGGGGCAAGCCCCACTGGGCCTGGGCACTGTCCCTGAGCTCTTCAGCTCAAGGCGAGCTCTACACTTGAGCTACAGTGCCATTTCCAGTTTTCTGGTGGTTAATTGGAGATGAGTCTCACAGACTTTCCTGCCTGGGCTGGCTTTGAACTGCAATCCTCAGATCTAAGCCTCCTGAGTAGCTAGGATTACAAGTGTGAGCCACCAGCACCCAGCCTTTCTTCAGGCTCTGATGCTAAAAGTCCCCTGGCTGTAGAACTTCAAGCAGGATTGTCTAGTGGGGGGAATTTTGGCTAAGTAGTAGTCTCATTATCTGTACAGAGGAATAGTAATTCCTTGCCTCTACCTCATAGACCATTTCAAATAAAGAGGGAAAAAAAAACCTCTTTTCTCCCTAAAAGAAAAGACGAAAGGGCTAGGAATGTGGCTTAGTGGTAGAATACTTGTCACAACAACAACAAAAGTCAAATGAGAGGACAAGGTCCTGAGTTCAAGTGCCAGTAAGAGCAAAACAATGACAGGGAAGATAGAAGACTCAAAGGCCTGTCTTTGATCTGGAACTTAAGACTAATATGGTATATACAGCCTGTTCTAGAAAGGCTTTAAGTGGATGGCAGAAAGGCTAACTGGGAATTGAACTCTGGGATAAGGGGTAGGGCCAAAGTTCTGTCTTGGCAACCCACAAGTTGCGAAAGATACTGTGTGTCTGTAGCAGAGTGAGGAAGAGTACAGAATTGTTTGGGAAGGAAAGAAACAATTCTTATAGCTTTATGCTCTTTTCTTCCTCCCTGTTCAGGCCGGGAAAAGTGGACATTCCTCTGTGGAAGATGCCCAGGCCACCATGGAATTGTACAAGTTGGTTGAAGTCGAGTGGGAACAGCACCTGGCCCAGAATCCCCCCCAAAACTAGCAGCTGTAGAAAACAGTATCAGGAGAAACAGGCAGTAGATCAACACACAGCTCTGCCCACTTCACACCTGTAGAAGCTAGAATTGTTGGGGTGAGACTCAACCCCAGAACTTAATATCCATTGAAATTTTACCTCAGCTGTTGTGGTCCATGTCTGGTTAAATGTCCATGGAAGGCAGAAGCCTTTGTGTCAGAACCTAGCCTTAGACTGTTCACCTCATATATGGTGCTAATCACAGGTCCCAGGGTGTTTTGTGCCAGTCAAGCTTTTTGACTTTGAGGGCAGACATACATAGTTTCTCACACTGCCTTAGCAATAGGCTGGCCATGGGAGAGGCTCTATGTTAGTGGTTCAGGCGTACCTTGAATTCTTTGCCCACATTAGGCTCAAGTGATCCTCTTACCTCAGAATCCTGAGTAGCTGGGACTACAAGTCCCAGTTTGCAGCTGCAAGCTTGTCTCATTTTATGCCTTTGGTTTTCAAGTAATTAACAGCATCCTTTCATTTTAAGTGTTCTGGTTGGTATTAAATGTGGTACATGCCTATGATTTTAGTTACTCGAGAGGCAGAGGTACTAAGATCCCAGTCTCAGTTAGAGATTGGCCCAGGCAAAAGCAAAGACCCTCTCTAAAAACAAGCTATGTTGGATGCTAGTGATGCACACCTATAATCTTAGCTCCTCAGGAGCTTGAGATCTGAAAGATCATGGTTCAAAGACAGTCTGGGAAGAAAAGTTAGCAGGACTCCATCTCCAGAATAACTCAAAAAGCCAGTGTGTAGGTATGGCTCAGTTGATACAGTACCAGCCTAGCAAGGAAGGTGAGTGAATGGAAGCCCTTGGTTCAGACTCCAGTATTTTAGGTGGGGGAGGGTAGAGATAAAATAATAAAAACAAACTAAAGCATTTTCAAAAGGCTACCACCTGTCACTCGGGTGGTAGACGTCTTACCTAGAAAGTACAAAATTCTTGAGTTCAATCTCCATTATGGCAAAAAAGAAAAAACAAGTGTCTTACCTGGACACTATAATTGTATGGTCACATGACATATCACAGACTCACCTTGTGGCTCAGAGTTTGGATCTAGCCTGTTTAGGAGACCATCCGCTGATTAGCAAGGTGAAACTCAGTTCTTAGAGCATACAAGGTAGTGAGATCAGACTTGTGATTTAGCAATCTCATTTTAAAGTTACAAGCGGATTTACTTAATTTAGGTTCCACTTGGTGGGTTAAAGGACTTAGATTATTTTAGTGGGTTGTTTTTTTATTTTATTTTATTTTTTTAGATAAGAGTCTCAAAGACTTTCCTGCCCTGGCTGGCTTTGAACCTCAATCCTCAGAACTCAGCCTCCTGAGTAGCTAGGATTACAGGCGTGAGCCACCAACTCCCGGCTTAGTGGTTTTTTGGTTTTTGTTTTTGTTTTTTTTTATCATTTAACTTGCTAAAAACCTCTTAAAGATTCAAATGATTTATTTGATAAATTTTTATAATAGAAGCAGATGTATTGTGGTTTCTTTTAGACTTAACACTGTCACAGGTATTGTGGGGCACTTAGTTCTCAAAGGGTGCCAAGATCTCTGGGTGGCATCAGTTGGGCTCCTTGTTTGCTAGAAGTTATCACAAAGTGCTAATCAGGACCAGGCATGGTCGTGCATATTTCTAATCCCAGCTACTTGGGAGACAAAAGACAGGATCAGGGTTGAGGCCAGTCCATGAAAAAGTTGCCAGGACCTGAAGCTAAGTAGGGGAATGGCAGTTAGACTTGCCCCGGTTAATAACCCACAGCTGTTCGAAACAAAAATAAAGCAGAAGGGCCAACGCATGGCTCAAGTAGAGTACTTGGCCCCTGAGTTCAATTCCTAGTATCACTAAAAAACAAAAAACCCACACAAGTACCTGTTGCCAGTGGCTCATACATATAAGCTCCTCAGGAGACTGAGATCAGTAGGAAAAGGTTTGAAGCTAACCTATCAGAAAAAATTGCTAGAATCCTCCAGAATAACCAGCAGAAAACAGGGCTGTGTGTCTCAAATAGTAGAGACCCAACTTAGCAAGCCCAAGGCCCTGAGTTCAAACTCCAATACCACAAGAAAAATAAAGCACTGACTAAGTCTTTGTTACACAAATGGTGCCTTGTTCTCATCCATTATCTATCATAGGTCAACAAGCACACCTGAAATGACACCCCAAGCCATTTGAACACCCTCACATATAGGGTGTGTGACCGAGTCAGTGAGGTAGAATGAGTCAGTGGGCATGAGGGGAGGGATAGAGCGGGGGAGGAATGGTGCTTGGTGACGCCATGCAGGTCACTGCTGCCAGCTCTTCATTGGTGGCACACACCCTTGTCTTGGCAAAATGAGTCACGGGTAACCTGTTCAGGATTACCGTGTGCAGTGTCTTGAGACCACAGACTCTACTGTACATCAGGACTTATGCGCTCTTGAGAGGCTAGTCTGCCTTACAGCCACTTACACGAGGGAATTTCTTGCAGCCCAAGTAGAGCCAATACTTGGTCTGGTTTTACATCCTACATTGTAGAATCCGTTTGCACAGGCAGCTGTAAGAGCTCCGAGCAAGTTCGGTCCTGTGAGCCCCCACATATAATGCCCGTAACTTCTCACAAAGAGGTGCCAGGTGCTCTTGAAGGCCACACCAAGAATATAAAACGTATGTGGAAGCAAGTCTGATTGGTTGTGTGTGTGTGTGTGTATACTAGGGCTAGGGCTGCCTCTTAGCTCTTTTGCTCAGGACTTGGGCTTTTCTACTTGAGTCATAGCTCTGCTTCCAGCTTTTTTATTTTTTGATCATGGGGCTTGAACTCTGGGCCTGGGCGTTGTCCCTCAGCTCTTCAGCTCAAAGCTAGCACTCTACCACTTGAGCCATAACACCACTTCCGGTTTTCTGTGTGGTTTATTGGGGATAAGAGTCTCATGGCCTTTCCTGCCCCGGCTAGCTTTGAACCTCGATATCCTCAGATCTCAGCCTCCTGAGTAGCTAGGATTACAGGCTTGAGCCACTGGCATCCAGCTGTGTCCAGCTTTTTTTTGGGGGGGGGGGTCCGGTCGTGGGGCCTGAACTCTGGGCCTGGGCACTGTCCCTCAGCTCTTCAGCTCAAGGCTAGCGCTCTACCACTTGAGCCACAGCGCCACTGCCGGCTTTTTTCTTTTTGCTTATGTGGTGCTGAGGAATCGAACCCAGGGCCCCAGGCATGCAAGGCAAGCGCTCTACCACTGAGCCAGCCCTGGGTCCAGCTTTTTTAATGGTTCATTGGTGGTAAGCCTTACAGCCCAGGCTGGCTTTAAACCACCATCCTCAGATCTCAGCCTCCTGAGTAGCTAGGATTACAGATGTGAGTCATTAGTGCCTGGCTGAGACAACAGTAGGTCTTGAATTTTCCTGCCTCATTGTCACAAGTGCTGGAATTGCAGATGTGTGTAACCATATCCAGCTGAATATTTAGGATTCATGCTAGTTAAAACAGAAGAGAGCCCATGGCTCACACCTGTAATCCTAAATGCTTAGGAGACAGATATGATGATCTCAGCTTGAAGCTAGCACAGGCAAAGAAATCCAAAAGACTCTTGGCTCCAATTAACCAGCAAAAAGCCAGAAATGAAGATAGGGCTCCACTGGTATCACCAACCTTGAGTGAAAAAAACAAAACCAAAGTCCCTAAGTTCAAGTCCCAGTACCAACACATACAAACACACACAAAGCCGCAGATGGCTCTTATGCTTACCCTCTCTTCAATGCCTAGAAAGGTACCTAGTTTCTTAGTTCCTATTAGAGTTCAGTGAACTTGTGCTCACCAACAACTTAGAAGACCAGACCTTGTAGATATTTAACTGTCTACTGTCGTCAAACTTTCTGGGAAAAGCACAGCTTATCTGCAAGGGTGCCTGGAGATTCTCTGACTTTAGTTTCCTTTCTAATTACTACCCAAGGTTCTGGCCTCGTCTATTTCATGGCCAAGCTCCTCTTTTGATTGATGTCTGAAGCTCAGTCAGCAAGCCCTGTTTTCTGGGGACACACTTGGAAGTAATTTTTTTGGGGGGGTCCAGTTGTGGGGCCTGAACTCTGGGCCTGGGCACTGTCCCTCAGCTCTTCAGCTCAAGGCTAGCACTCTACCACTTGAGCCACAGCACCACTTTCAGCTTATTTCTTTTTGCTTATGTGGTGCTGAGGAATCGAACCCAGGGCCTCAGGCATGCAAGGCAAGCGCTCTACCACTGAGCCACCTTCCCAGCCCGCATTATAAATTTTCTAATACTAAAAGACCCTCTGCTCCAGGTGAGACAAGGAAATGCAGTATGAGAACCAGATCTAGCGAATCATTGGTAGTCTATAAAAGTTTATTTAACAAAGCAGTGGGTTTGTTTGTTTGTTTGTTTGTTTTGGGATTTTTTTCAGTGCAAGTCTGGGACATGAACTGAGACATGACCTCAGTACCTGATACGTTCACTCATTGCCTAGTACTTTACCAACTAAGTGACACCTCCAACCCCTGAAATAGTTATTAAACGGTAAAGGGATCAAGTATGGTGGAATAACACTGCTAGTCCCTCTATGTTAAGAACCTTAAGAACCACTGATACAGCCAAGGTTCCAAGGAAAAATCATTTGATTCCTAGTTTAACAGATGATTAGAACTGACAATAAGAAAGATCAACAGTACTATAATTATGTACTTGCCCTAAGGCACATTAGCCTAAGTTGAAATTCAGAGAGACAAACACTTCTGAATGCAATATGCCAGGTGTGTTTATGAGTGTCCCACATCCACAGTAGATAAGCATACCATATTTTACTGTAGTTCACAAGCCGCTTTTGCTTGCCCTTTGCCACAGAACAGCTTAGCAATAGCATTTGATGCATTAATAGTGTTTTTTTTCAATTTGATGTTGCCACATAATTGGTGACAATGAGTATATCACATTGCTTCACCTCAATGGTTCTAGTGCCCAAATCCTGGGATTATTTCCTAAGTTGATCTTTTTTGTTCTGGTCCTCTAGCTTGAACTCTCCCAGGCTAGCTTTGAACCATGATCCTCAGATCTCAGCCTCCTGAATAGCTAGGATTACAGGGGTGAGCCACCAACTCTAAATAAGTGCTTCTCTGTACCAACTACTATGATAAGCCCTTTTAGTGCATTATTTCATTTTTTGAGAGACAGATAATACTCTTAATTTTGTTTGGTTTGGGTTGTTTGTTGTGGAATTTTGTGGGGTTTTTGTTTTTGTTTGTTTTTGTCAGTTACAGATCTTGAACTCGGCTTAAGGCTAGTGCTCTACCACTTTGAGCCACAGCTCCACTTCCAGTTTTCTAGTGGTTAATTGGAAGTAAGAGTCTCACGGACTATCCTGCACTGACTGGCTTTGAACCGTGATTCTCAGATCTCAGCCTCCTGCAATAACTAGGATTACAGGTGTGAGCCACTGGCACCCAGGTTGTTTGCTTTTTTTGGGGGAGGGTGGTCCAGTCGTGGGGCCTGAACTCTGGGCCTGGGCGCTGTCCCTCAGCTTTTCAGCTCAAGGCTAGCGCTCTACCACTTGAGCCACAGCGCCACTTCCGGCTTTTTTCATTTTGCTTGAGCCACAGCACCACTTCCAGCTTTTGTTTTTCTTTTTGCTTATGTGGTGCTGAGGAATCAAACCCAGGGCTTCAGGTATTCAAGGCAAGCACTCTACCACTGAGCCACTTCCCAGCCCCTGTTTGCTTTTTTTAATTGTATTTTTTTTGGGGGGGGTCCGGTCATGGGGCCTGGACTCTGGGCCTGGGCACTGTCCCTCAGCTCTTCAGCTCAAGGCTAGCACTCTACCACTTGAGCCACAGCGCCACTTCTTTTTTTTTTTGCTTATGTGGTGCTGAGGAATCGAACC